TATGCTACTTTAAGACCCTAGTTAACTCCCTAAATCTTTAGCACTTGATTGGGAACTAAACTATTACCCTTAGGATATTTTTTGGGTGATTTCTCGGGCCAAAATAACTATTTCAGGGTTTAAGTATCGATATTGGGATAAACAATATCAATATTGGATGAATTGGGGCTAAAATTAGGGATTTCAAGATGGGAGTATCGATATGCAGTATTAATACACAAGATGGTAGTATCAATATTGGGCCTCAATTTCAGAAACAAAATTCATTTTTGGTACCGATACTCATAAGGGTATCGATACTTGACCCTAGGGTATTGATACTACAAGTAGAGTATCAATACTACTCTCTTTGGATGGTCAGTTTTGACCCGAATAAGGCCCGTAATAGTAAGAATAAGTCCATAAGGGACCTGAAGGTCTAAAAATACATATAAACAATCGTAGAAGTGGTATCACAACATAGGTAACCATTCTAAGCAGTATACGCCAAAGTATCTTTAGTCGAGCACGTATATGAATGGTGGAGAATGAGGATCGTTACAATGATGTATCGACCAACGGTACAATGAGTGAGTCAGATTCAGAAATAGTGGAGAGCATGGGCTTCGAGAATGTCAGTGAACCTAAGAGGTGTAAGTCGTCCTTTTAATCCAATGGGTATTGAGACGAAGTTCAATAAGAGCGATTAGAGTGTCACTACTCAGAGTTAAACCCGATATCGTATAGAGATTTGGCTAGAAGTAGATAATAAGTAAATTACACTTTAGTAACGAGCGACCAGAGTGGAACATCATAGTAAATAAAAATAGTATCATGCCATTATGCATTCGTGTAACATTCTAGATAGAGAAAGAACGAGATAGCATTTAGAGAGAGGATGACCTTACCTTAGTGAGTCCAGTTATGCTAGGTTATACATAGGTTACCTTAGTAGCCCTGGTGGGGTATTGTAAGTGCGTGAGGCATTTCAGGTGCTAGTGAGAGTGCGAGGCCTGAACACTCACAAAGAGTCAATTAGCGATGTAAGTGTCATGTGGCCTCTAGGCCTTAGGTATACATGTATAGTCTCATCAGCCCAATTCAAGTAGTGAATATCTTTTAATGGTATAAGATATTTGAGAACACATGAAGCAAGTACGCGAGGCACTTCTGTGGCTGACTATGTGCCAAAGCCTTAACACTCGTGAGGGGTGGGTTGGCAGGTGTAATGTCTTTACTCAGATACGCCATAATAAGTGTGTGAGGCACTTTAACGGCTAATTTGGGCACGAGGCCTAACACTCGCTAGGGGTGGGTTAGTCGGACGTGATATCAGTAGTTGCTAGTGTCTAATGGCTTTGTGAGACCAGATAATAATCAACATTGCATATAGTAGTACACAACAAAGTCATAATCGCATTTTGATAATGTCAAGTTGAGTTAGAGTTACAATTAGATAATGCAAAGTAGTTACAGTCTGTCTGAGTAGAGACCCGATAAAGGTGACTTATGGTGAGGCCCTTATCCGAGGACTAAGGGAAGCGTAAGTCTCATGCATCAGTAGTAGAACAGTAAAGTCTTAAATTGGTAGCACTTGATCAAGATCACGAATGTGCCTACTTCTTAGTATCATATCTTTAGCACACTTATGTTTATGAAATTCTTATGATGCTCTAGATTAGCGATTATGCTCTTAGACTTTGTAAGCTCAGCCTTCGGATGTTTTTCGTGGTAGGTCAGTAGCTTAGATAGTTTGTGGTGTATCATTGCAGCAAGACTTCCAACATCTCCTTCAGAGTAAAGTATTGTAGCTTTAGTGGGCATGTGTATTCAGATAACCTTACTTATGTATTTATTTTATCAAACAATGGGATGTATTATTTTGATTTTAAATTATGTGTCATGGAGCTCTGGTTTTAAAATGTTTTAATAACTGCTTTATATGTTATATGATACCATTGAGTGTGTTTTAAAAGAAAACGAAAAGGTTTTGGAAATCAAGGGTTGCCTCAGTAGCCTAATATGGCTCTTTAGGCTTAATAGGGTTTAGGGTATTACAAAAAAGATTATTATAAACCAAAAGAAGTACATTATGGATTTACTCTCTGAAACCAGAATAATTGGTTGCAAGCCTTCGAAAACTCTCATGGAAACAAATTTGAAGTTAAGAAAATATAGGAATCCAGTAAATAAATTTACTCTCCGAAACCAAAATGACTGGTTGCAAGCCTTCGAAAACTCCCATGGAAGCAAATTTGAAGTTAAGAAAATATAGGAATCCAATAAATAAGGAACAATATCAAAGGTTAGTAGGTAAACTCATCTATTTGTCACTTACTAAGCCAGACATAGCATTCTCTGTTAGCATTGTGAATTAATACATGAATGATCCTAGAGAAAAACATTTGGAGATGGTATATCGAATTTTGAGGTATTTAAAGATCACACCAGGACATGGGTTAATTTGCATAATACATGAAGATAGAACAATCAAGATTTTCTCAGATTCAGGATGGGCTGGAGAATTAACAGATAGAAGATCAACTATGGGAAAATGTTCGTTTGTGTGGGGAAACTTAATGACTTGGAGTAGCAAGAAACAAGTTATAGTTTGCAGAAGTTGTGCTGAAGTAGAATATTAAGCAATAGCACTCGAAACTTATGAAGGTGTTTGGTTACAAAAACTTCTAACTGGGTTGGAGGTTTGTGATAGAACCGACTTTGAGCTTCATAGTGACAGTAAGTCAGCCATAAGTATTGCTAAGAATTCAGTACAACATGACAGAACTAAACATGTGAAGATCGACATACACTTCATTGTTGAGAATGCGAATGGTGGAACAGTAAAACTAAACTATGTCTTTTCAAAAGATCAACTAGTCGATGTCTTGACTAAGACACCTCCGAGGATCAATTTCGACGAGATCACATCCAAGTTGGGTCTTTATAATATATAATCCCAAGCTTGAGGGGGAATGCGAGTTATATTATGTACAGGAGTTTTAGTTTTATTAGAATTTTATTCATTTTAATTCTAGTTTTTATTACAGATAGAGATAACTTTTAACTAAGCTAAAACTCTTACCTTAGCTAGGACTCTTAGTAATATCTTGTATAAAAGCTCTGTTGTAACTATTGATTGAGTTATGAAATTAAAAATAATTTATATTTTAAGTAAATTATCGTTCAACAATAATAATAATATTTTTTTCCTTAAAATTTATACATTCTATTAATTGTCTAGTTCGAAAACTAATCAATAAATGTTAGTTTTAGTGGGCAATGCCCACTTTTAAGAATACACCAATCCGAATGAAATTACTTCTAAAACTATGACTACAAAATATAATAATTGTATAATTTTTATTTTTCATATTTATTCACTTATTATTTATTATTTATGTCAGTCAATATAAACATTTTCGTTTTACATCAGTTTTGTTTATTGAAAAAGAAGATGAGAATGATGTTATGATAAGGTAGGTGATGGGCAATGACACAGGTTGTAAGCTGGAGAAAAAGGAAATTTGCAGTTAATTCTAAAGGTAAGGAAGTAATTGCTTTTGACAATAATAATAAAAGAGAATGACGATATATAACGGTGTTATCCAAAGAAACAGAATAATAAGAGTGTATGAGAAAAAGTTGTTGCTTTTTTTTTTTGCGTAATTTTTTAGGATTTTAGATATATTTGAATCTTGGTAGAGAAAGAATTGAGAAAATATTAATCATAATATATTTTAATTTGATTTATTAATATTTATGTTGATGAGAACAAGATAATTATGTTGGCTATAGGTGATTCAATTCTTTATAGATTCATCATTCTAATTATACTAATTATTTAGAAACTACAGGAGGGTTAGCTTATCTTCCTCTCTAGCGTAAAATACAGGAACCATATACACCTCTTTACGTGATAAACCCCTAGACTTTAACAAGCAGCTTTGTGACCCAAGATACAAAAACACCAATTGCATCTAAGAATAATGAAAAGCATGAGCCTAGCATGATTAGCTCAGCCAAAATAAGGGTAAAATTATAAATTACACCCAAAAAAAAGAACTTGGAAAATTTATTTTGGACGGTATAAATGAAATCTGTGGATGGGCCAAGTCAACCAAGAGCTATGTACAGATGAATTTCACCTTCTTGAAGTTTACCGGAATAAGAAACCAAACATAAACCTAATTGTTTTACTCTTTTCCTCCGATTAAGTTCAGAGAGGTTTTTAATGAGACACATAACTTAAGTTTTAGGATTGTTTTTTTAATCCTTAATATATAAAATCATATTACCGAGAAAGAAAAAAAAACAATGGTAGGTTGTGGCCAACTCTCCAAAATAGATTACACTAATACACGAATCATTGATGTTCCTAGAGGTCACGGATTCGAGTACTAGCGGCTTCAGAAGGGTGATATAGCGTTCATTGTCAAATGGTTGAGAGTATTTAGAACATATATTACTTTATAATCACCTTAGCTTTATAAAAAAAATTACACTACTACACTGTTTCTAGAAATTTGCAGACTGAGACTACTCATCACATTATTGGCTTTTTTCTCATTGTCAAGACTTTAGCGGTTGTCCTTCAAGTGTAAGCATATATGCGTGTTGTTGATGAACCAGAAAGATTTTGATTATTAATTATCAAATCATATAAATTAAGAAGATAATGGGTTCCTAGTCCTACTTCCATTAGTCGTTGTCTGTATATCAAAAGCTTTTACTTAAAATTCAACATCAACGTAAGATTTTTCTTTTATCTAGAAGTCAATTCAGGGTTGGTAGAAGCTTTAGTCTTCTTTAACTAATAGAATAATTACATTTCTAGTTTCTTCCACAATTCATTGGTCCAATACTTCAATTAAAGCCTAATAAAAAAAACATTTTTCCAACTTGAAGACTTGAAGTGGACTTTGATTTTTCCAAATTTCAGAGTTGCATAATCGAGCAGGAATAAACACTGATAAATTGAGCTTTGGTTAAACAGGTTCATGATAATTCCCATAGGATGACTTTAAGGCTGATGAAGCTGTTGCTGTCTTCTTCGACATGTTTGCTCTTCTTCTTGGTTGTTTCCTTTTGGTGCAGCCAATCCATTAATGCCCAGAAAGCTGCCACAGATCCTTCCGAAGGTACTCTACATCTCTCTGTATTTTTGTGTGTATATATTTATGAAGCAATGAACCGTTGAATTCACCAATTGTTTTATGAATGGGGAACACAGTAAGGGCATTGAACTCGATCTTCCAACAATGGGATACACAAGCAGCGGATACATGGAACATCAGTGGAGAGCCATGTAGTGGATTTGCTCTCAGCCAAAGTGATTCTGTGTTCGAGGATCCTTCCAATAACCCTGCTATCAGATGTGATTGTTCTTTCAGAAATAACACTCTTTGCCACATTACAAGCCTGTATGCTTCTTGCTCTAAGTCTAATAATAATGAACGTACCATTTTGTACTAATATTTTGGCTCTATCAGGAGGGTATATGCTTTAGATAAACGAGGGGTGATACCAGAGGAGCTGTTGGATTTGCCTTACCTGACATTCTTGTAAGATTTTAGAATATTTTGCAAATGAATGCTGATTTTATATTGGTTACAGTATGTGTTTTGGGTAGGGAAAATGATTGGTTTTACAATAGCTGATCATAATCATTTATACTGTTTGGTGATGCAGGAAGCTCGATCGAAATTTCTTCTCTGGTCGTTTGCCGGCATTTGTTGGAAAGTTGTCTAGATTAGGGTTGCTGTGAGTACTGAAAGATAATCTGATAAAACCATTTAGTTCTTGGTGGACGCAGTTTGTTTGTTTGTTTTCATGCCATAAGAACAAGTTTTGAAATAACAGAAACAAAGAAATGTACAGGCCTAAGTAGTTTCCTTTATGAAGCTCTCAATAACATGTAATTGGTAACCCAACAGCATTACGATGTGTTACTCGGAGTCGAGCGCGAGTGTCAGATACAAATATTTGTGTGACACTGTCCCTACCATACAAGTATATGATAGACAAGGGTTTTACTTTGTGTAGGTCAATTTCCCACAACGATTTATCTGGACCTATTCCAAAGGAGCTTGGAAACCTTAAGGAGCTGTATTATCTGTAAGAATCAAAAACTCTCAATGAATCTTTGTATTGAAATGATGGATATAACCGGGCTTATGAAAAAAAAAACCGGGTTCTTTTCGAAAGTTTCTTCAAGGATTAACGTGATGCAGGAACTTCGGTGTTAATAATTTCTCCGGGACACTCCCTCCAGAACTTGGTAATCTAGTCAAGCTTGGAGAATTGTAAGTTCCAACTTTCTTTAGTTCTTTGTAGCAGGATGTGCATGCTTGTGTTTACAGGTTACCCTTTGAATTTGGTAGGAACATGAACAGTTGTGGATTGGGTGGCAAGATTCCCTCAACATTTGCTAACCTTGTAGAACTGAGAACTGTGTAAGAAAACTCCTGCAAACGGCATGAATTACATTAAGTCCTTATCTTAGTAAGCTCTGTTGAATATCAGGTGGGCATCTGACAATGCATTCACAAGCAAAATACCAGACTTTGTTGGCAATAACTGGACAAAGCTTACTTCATTGTAATTCATCAAAATATCTCGGTTCATCTTCGTATAAATCCTCTCTGAATCAGACATCAAGAAGGATAACTTGACTAGTCGGTCAAATATTTTTATACAGGAGATTTCAAGGGAACTCTTTCAGAGGACCGATTCCACCGAGTTTTGCGAATTTAACCTCGCTGAATTCTTTGTAAGTAGAGATAACATATTCATACGTGATACATGTATGCAAATATGTACCTTGTTTTTTGATGCTTGCACATCTTGTAGGCGAATTAGTGATATATACAATGGAAGTTCTTCTCTTGATTTTGTCAGAAATCTAAAGAACTTGACTGACTTGTGAGTTAATCGGACTCTTCACTTGTATTCATCTACGTTCATTGATTTGGGAAAACAATTATGACATTTATGGATTAACAATTGCTTTTCCCTTCCGCAGGGTTCTAAGAAATGTCTTGCTCACAGGTTTTTTGCCGTCTTATATCATAGAACTGCAGTCTTTACAAAAGCTGTAAGTTTTTTATTTTAAAATCATCTGCTTCAATAATTTTATGATATTCACTGCCTGTGTTTTCATTTTCTTTCTGTTCCAGGGACTTGAGCTTCAACAACTTAGTAGGCTCCATTCCAAGTAATATGATTACAATGGGTTCTCTCGAGCACTTGTAAGCTTCAAACAAACAAACAATAAATAATAAAACTATCCCCTTCAATGATTTTTTCCCTTTTTTTTTTTTTGTACTTGACATTATTTCTCTCTTGAATACTATTGAAATGGCCAGGTTTCTTGGAAATAACAGTCTGTCAGGTGCCATTCCCAGTCAAAAGAGTGAAGCTCTTCAGACTATGTAAGTCATTCTATCAGTCCAACTTGTTTAATATTACATTCCTTCAAGTTCCATATTCACTTTCAGCTAATATCCTTTTACGTGCAGAGATTTATCATACAATTTACTGTCAGGAAATTTGCCTTCTTGGGTGAACTCGGGCTTACAACTGTATGTTTTCTAAACCAGGATACTTCATTTACTTGCATTTGCTTTCGGATTTCAACACTGCTTCTTAATTTATGGCTTTTTTGGTCCTCGAATGGAGCTTCTTCATTGTTGAATCAATTGCAAATGAATACCAATAAGAACTTGTTTCATGGCATTTTATGTAGGAACCTAGTGGGCAACAACTTCTCACTTAACAGCTTGAACATTTGGTGAGTTATGGTCTAGGAAACCAAAAGCTTGCTATTATCTCTTCCAGGAAATGCATTCTTTTAATGATCCTAATCCAGAAATTGTTTCACGATTCGGCAGGAATTTACCAGGAATAGAATGCCTTCAAAGAAGCTTCCCCTGCAACAGAGATGCTCCACGATGTACTAACTAAAACTTTGGAACTATAATCTGTTACTGAATTCTTAATTATAAGACTTAAATCATGACTGACTAGTGCTTAATCCTTTGCTAACGTATTTCAATGTCTGCATTGTAAGATGCAAAGTTCTCGATCAAATGTGGAGGTTCACGGATAATTTCTAATGGGATAGAATATGAGGCTGATGACAGACCCCTTGGCGCAGCCACATATGTCGTAAACAGCGCACAGAATTGGGCAGTTAGCAATGTAGGTTTGTTTGCAGATAGACAGAATGAACAGTATGAGGAAAACACCTTAGCCCAAGTGAGAGGTACTAACACTCCGGAGCTGTATCAGAGTTCAAGGCTATCCCCCGGGTCCCTGAGATACTATGGCCTAGGCCTTGAGAATGGGCTCTATACCGTAAACTTGTTCTTTGCAGAAACGGGTTTCCCAGACCGATCATCACAGTCTTGGAAGTCTCTAGCGAGGCGTGTTTTTGACGTTTATATTCTGGTAATAATTCTAAGTAGATATTCAATCCATTCTAAGTTGAATACTTTCTATAGTACCTCATCAACTCTTCATCAGGGAACTCGGCAATTAAGGGATTTTGATATATCGAAGGAGGCAGGCGGTGTTGAGAGAGCAATAACTAAGAATTTCACTGTTAATGTAACTGAGAACCATCTTGAAATTCACCTGTTTTGGGCTGGTAAGGGGACTTACTGTACACCAGAACAAGGTTATTATGGTCCTTCCATTTCAGCTATTAGTGTTGTTCCAAGTAAGGCACATCAACACTTGCATATCTTTATGTGATATATGCTTCATGTTCTTATTACCTGTTTTCTGTTTTTAATACATCTATTTTGTTTCTCAGATTTCATACCAACTGCCATTGGGTCTAAAGAGAAGAACTGGACAAAACTGATTGTTGTTCTTACAGTTTCTGTTGTGGTCTTGGTTTCGACACTTATATGTTCAATTTTTTACGTAAAGAGAAAAAAAGAAGATGACGAGGAAGGTAAGAGCATCGGTTTTATTCGAATCACGGTGATCGGTGATATGAGAGAACTCTTTTATTTTACATTTCATTGTACCAACATACAGCCTACTAATGGCCTTACTTGACTATGCAGTGTTGCATGATATCTGTCCTAGACTAATCACATTTAGTTATTCCGAGTTAAAAGCGGCCACCGAAGACTTCAGTCCTTCGAAGAAGTTAGGAGAAGGTGGTTTCGGAGCTGTCTACAAGGTATAGTATGTTCTACAGTTTTAGGATGCAACAAACATGGTGATTGCCAGACAAAAGGAAAAAAGTTCATTGCTAAGTTAGTTTACCTTATAGGGTACAATTTCAAATGGGACAGTGGTAGCAGTGAAGCAACTTTCAATAGCATCAGACCAGGGAAAGAGTCAATTTATTGCCGAGATCGCCACCATATCAGCCGTGCAACATCGCAATCTTGTCAAACTACACGGATGCTGCTTCGAAGGGAAAAGGCGTCTTCTTGTTTACGAGTTCCTCAAAAACAAAAGCCTTGATCAGGCACTCTTTGGTATGATCAAACTAATATTCTCCTGCATTAACTAATCAACTTTAAAACCATAAAACTTAGGAAGAATGGATTCGAATTATATGATTTATATGCGCAGGACATAGTGGCTTGCATCTTGATTGGCCTACCCGTTATAATATATGCTTAGAAACAGCAAGGGGGTTAGCTTATCTTCACGAGGAGTCTAGGCCAAAGATAATCCACAGAGATGTTAAGGCAGGTAATATTCTGCTTGATGCAGAACTGTGCCCCAAAATATCTGATTTCGGATTGGCAAAGCTGTATGATGACCAGAAAACGCACATAAGCACCCGAGTTGCAGGAACCATGTAAGCCCCTTTTGACTTTAGTTCATATATAGTTCAGGAATCATCTAAAACACATAACCAGATATAGTAATTTTATGTTAAAAGTGGCTACCTTGCGCCGGAATACGCAATGCGTGGGCATCTCACTGAGAAAGCCGATGTTTTTGGCTTTGGCATTGTTGCTTTGGAGATTCTTAGTGGTAGACCAAACTCTGATAAGAGCATGGAGGATGATAAAATATATCTACTCGAATGGGTAAGTATTAGTCAATCCTTATACTCGCTTGCTTTCCATTGGCTTCAAAAGGACATGTAAGTTCATGATGAATGAATATGTTTTCAACAATGTTTCCAGGCATGGGTTCTATATGAAAATAACCAAATCCTGGATCTGATTGATCAAGATTTAATCGAGTTTGATGAAAATGAAGCTCTTCGAGTGGTCAGGGTGGCACTTTTGTGCACTCAGGGATCACCATCGATGCGGCCATCCATGTCCCGCGTAGTGGCTATGCTTGCTGGAGATATCGAATTGAACGGTGTTATAACAAGACCAAGTTATCTTACTGACTGGAGTTTCAAGGATTTAACACGCAGATTTGTGACCCAAAGTGCACCAACATCAACTGCATCTGAGAATAGTGACATCCATGATCAGAACATGATAAGCTCAGGCCAAGGGGCGGCACCGATTCGATCTTGAATAAATGTTGATGAATTCAGTGACACTGTAGAAGGAATGTGAGATTTCTTGAAGATATCTCATTAAGACAGAACTTTGGTATGTTGGACAGTTATAATTTTGCCTAGAAGGAAAGAAATGATAGATGCACGGTGACACCTGGATCTCATATTGGAAGACTCTGAGAACCAGCTATACAGCGACGAGTAGACATTAAGCTTCTATTTGTCATGGAGAAAATCATCTGACTCGGAATAGCAGAGGAATATTGTACTGAAATGTTTTCCATAGTTCAGGCGAGAACAAAGAGGAAAACGGAGACGACCTACCTACCCAACACTAAAAAATACTCCCGTAGCTTCTGTTCTCCGTTAACAATTTTGAATCAATCAGTCTAATATTTCTTTTGGAGTTGGTTTAAAGAATATTAAACTATTTTATCACACTTATCATGGGATAAAATATCGTTTTATGTAAAATAATTTTTTATAATTTATTTGAAGTGTATCGATCAATTGAAAACCGAATTAACCTTTAAAAATTTTGAGGTAGAAGCCGTTGAAATTAAAATTTTGCACAAAAGATTTAAATTGGTTCGATTTTTAAATTAAGTATGTGTTTATTTTCACTGTTCCACATCTTTAAACCTCTTATGTTTGCGCCGCGCAGACATTAAGCTTCGTAGACCGTTTGTTTTTTAGAATACATAAGCTCTTCTAATGTCTGCGCGAGCTCTTCTTGGTGCAGACATGATTTTATGTATTCAAAGGTCTTCAAACCTCTTCAAGAACAATTATAAAATATAGTTATTTACTAAAATAATTTTAAATAATTTAATAAGGTTATTTATTTTAAAATAAATTATTTTAAAATATGGATTGATTTATTTTAAAATAATTTATTTTAAATAATTTATTTGTATAGATTGATTTATTTTAAAATATGGATTGATTTATTTTAAATAATTTATTAGTATGGATTGATTTATTTTAAATTATGGATTGATTTATTTTAAATAATTTATTAGTATGGATTGATTTATTTTAAAATATGGATTGATTTATTTTAAATAATTTATTAGTATGGATTGATTTATTTTAAAATATAGATTGATTTATTTTAAATAATTTATTAGTATAGATTGATTTATTTTAAAATATGGATTGATTTATTTTAAATAATTTATTAGTATGGATTGATTTGTTTTAAATAATTTATTAGTATGGATTGATTTATTTTAAATAATTTATTAGCATGGATTTATTTATTTTAAAATATGGATTGATTTATTTTAAATAATTTATTAGTATGGATTGATTTATTTTAAAATATAGATTGATTTATTTTAAATAATTTATTATTTTAGTTGTATGGATTATTTAAATTTCAGTATTGTAAAGCTAAAATTATTTAAATCTCAATATTGCAAAACTCTTTTAAGTTTAAAAAATCAGTTTATTTATATTTCAGTTTATTTTAGCAGTCTGCAGACGATAAAAAACAAATAGTCTTCTTCTTGCAGACTACAGACTTTTGGTCCATCTCTTCTGCTGCAGATGCCTGCAGATGTGGTCCGCAGACTGCATACCTTTTACCTCTGCGAAAACAAACACCACCTAAGTCTACTAGGGATGGCAAAAAAACCTGAACCCGACAGGGAAAACCGAAAACCGAATTAAACAAGGACGGGGAAAACCCGTTTATGCTAAACGGGGACGGGGACGGGGAAAATCATTTATGTTAAACGGGGACGGGGATGGGTTTGATAATCCCCGCCCTGATTACCCGGCCCGATACCCGACCCGATAAATATTAAAAATAATTATTATATATATATATATATAATATTAATAAATTTAATTTAAATTAAAAAATATATATAATATTTATATATTTAATTTAAATATATATATACTCGACCCGATACTCGTTTAAATAACCGTTTATGCTAAACGGAGATACCCGTTTCCCCGCGGTTTTCCCCAATTACCCGATGGAGATCCCCGTTTAAATCCCCACGGTTTTTTAAGCGGGGACAAGTATGGATTTTTTAAACGGGGACGGGGACGGAGGGACCAATATCCGGCCTGAACCCGGCCCGTTGACATCCATAAAGTCTACATCCACTGCCTTAACATTCACAACAAAGATTTCTCAAATTTACTAAATTTACAAAAGATTTTTCAAATCCACTAAATTTACAAACGAAAACTTATGGATACTTCAAGGTTTATACAAATTTAACAAACAAAAGGAAAAAGTTTCACAACACAAATGGGTTTACACAATTTAAACACTCATTCAAATCACACTTAAGTAAGTTTAACAATGTAGCTCACATCTATTGATGTTAGTATGATTTTACAATTGACTGTCTTATTGTTCTTCATTTGAATTTTGGTCTTTTTATATCTTTTAATATTAATTTAGCCTTTTGGATCCGTTAGGGATTGAATTTTGGTCTTTTTTATATCTTTTAATATTAATCTAGCCTTTTGGATCCGTTAGGGATTGATTAAAGCCGTTTGATTCATTAATTTTAAACATTTAATGCTCACCTGCACATTTAATATCGATACCGAAAAGTTGGTATCAAGACAGACCATCCTAATAGTCAAAATTATATCCGTTAAACCACCAATATCGATATTATTTATGATATTGTTAAACCACCAATATCGATATTGTTTATGTGAATATCAGTACTCTCTAACCTGTATCAATACCAACACTATAATATTAATACCAAAAAAAACTTACTGAAATTTTGGTTTCGATATTGACATATTGGGCTCAAGATGGGAGGAGTTTTGGCTAAAAATCAAATGTTTTGAACTTTGAAACAATACTTATAATTTATGAAATTATTCAACAACACTTAGATTATTTTTCACACTTAAAAAACACTTTAAAATAGTTTACAATAAATTATTTATAAAATCTTAAAATGTAGATTTTAATAACTTAAAATATTTAAAATTATGTTATATCAAAATCAAAAGTTAGTAAAAATTATGTTAAGTTAATTCAACAAAGTGATTATAGATACATTAACTCCACTCCTAATTCCTCAATTATTATAGAAATATACAATTATGTTTGTATAACCAAGTAGCTCTAGGACTGCCTACACAATATTGTTAACCAGCGTAGACACTAACTATGATTATTAATATATTCTCTTTTTTAATAAAAAAAAGGACAATATCTTCCATCCCGAAAACAAGAAATCAGGGGGGGGTACTCCAAATCAGTTTCTCACAAAAAAAAAAGATGGTTGAGGATAATTAAGAGAAAAAGAAGAAAAAAACGATGACTGGTTTGTTGGATCACAGGGTTTGAGCGCCGGATGAAGATGAAGACATCACGGAGAGAACCTCTGTCACAGATGCCATTACACTCAAAGCCGCTTTCAGAACATCCTGAGAACACCCTGGTTTCACTATGGTACGGACCTGAAAGAAAGAAAGAAAAAAACATACGTTATGGATATATGGTGGCTGTATTACCTCAGCAATTCCAGTTGAATGGAAGCAAAATAAAAAACCAGAACCAAAGATTACGAAAATCCATGCAACGGCTGAATCAACAAATCATTCACCTTGTCAAGATACTCCTGTAGTTTCTTGATACGGCCCATGTAATCCTGGTCTTCAACGCATAGCGTTACCACCTTAGCATCAGCCCCTGGTCCATCAAACTGAAGGGGTCCTGGATTCCTGTAGATATCATCCAGCAAAAACCTTGTTGCATTTTGTCTCAGCAGCCTGCAAGCAATTAAAGGGTTTGCCCAAATTAGAATGAGTGATTATAAATACTGCTTCAATTACAATCGTAAACAACACTTACTCGTATGCTTTGCCTTTCAAATCCACAGTAGCTGGATGAATAGCCGGTTTTCCAATTGCCAAAGAATTGGTATTTTGGGACCAGCGCTTCACAGTCATCATTGCCTAAGATTTAACAAATGCAATCAAAGTCGAGCCATATAGTGAGAATATGCAGTGAAAGTAAATGAAATGAGGGTTAATAGCTAACCTAAATCACGCATTATAATAAACAAAACTCAACTGTAATAGGCGCAGCACCACAGCGCCACTTGTTTACTGGATTCTTTAGGTTAGTTATAGTTGCCATGTAACCATTTAAACCAGCTGCAAGTATATGGTAACAGACATGTCCAAGAACCTGTGAAAATTCATCATTATTAATAAAGGTAGAATATTAAAACAGGCAAAGGAAACATAACCGCACTTTAACTTACGTAGGCGTAATCACAGTCAAACTTTGATGGCAAGGATCCACGAGCCTGATAGCCAAAGAAGTGGCAGATAGCATTAAATTTTTTACCCTTGTAAGTACCTGCTTTCTGCACAGAACAACAGAGAAACAAGTAAGTAAAGAATAATAGTCCCAAAACACTAAGATTAATAGTTAAATATACATTCTTTCAAAGGGATACTACTACAGCGTTCTCTTGGGAAAGACTTAAGTTGACAGAAAGGCAGAAAAACTCATTTAATGGTTTTAAAAGTTTAGGGTCAACAAGAAAATATCAAATAGGTAGATAACAGAAGGAGAAAATTTCCCTACCAGGCGCTTATTTATTTCATCCTCTACAAGATGCGCCAGTAGTTTCTCTGTCTCAATCTGGAAAAAGCATAAAAGATATCATCAATTGGAAAGATTTGATGGGGTATTCTCTTAATAAGTAATTATATCTCAAGCTAGTTACCTGTGACAACTGAGCAGAATCATCTGATTCAGGACGGAGGAGAAGCTGTAACATCGAACATGACACTCATTAAGCTCTTTAATTTGTCCACCATGTGCACATATCTTTAATCATTAAGAATTATAGGAAATTAGAAGCAGCACCTGTTTCCTTATAAAAGGTGGTAAAAATTCAAACAAAGCATATGCCCAAGGTGACAGTTGGGAAGAAATAGTGTCAGCAGATACGTTTTGCCTGAGCAAACTGTGAATTTCCTGAAGTAAATATCATCAACACAAGCTAATGTCACATCGAAGCTTCAAATGAAAAACCTCTTTCCTAGAGCGCAAGGATGTGAAGGGAATTAGAGACAAGGCACTATTTAACATTAGTTACCTTCAATAATGCATACACTTCAGGAATGGTCTCTATAAGCCCTTCAGGCAGAAGGATGACCCCATGGTTCTTGTCTGGTTCGAACACACAAGGTCAGGGAGCAACAATGACAACTGAGCTCTTTCTAATATGAAATAAAGCAACTTGCAATATCTTACCTTGCTCAGCCCTAGCTTGAATTGCATCACAAATTTGCTTTGTTATGTCAAAAAGTGTAAGTTTTGATGCAGCCACCTCTTCACCAAGAATTACCTGTCAAAACACGTCAAATGCTTAGTGAAAATAAACATTTTCTGTAGCAGATGTAACTAACAAATATAATTAGTAAGCAAAAACTAACCATATTTGGATGAGACTGGAGGGTGCATTCCAAGGCAACATGTGATGCCTTCCTTCCCATAAGACGGATAAAATAATAATACTAAAAAAGAAAGGAAGCTAGGGTAAGAAAACAGAAAGCTAAAACCACACTCATCTCAGCTCTTACTCGCTTCTTTCATAACTTCAATATACAACATGCCAAAAGAGATTGATGTGACCAATCACCTAGGAGATACTATCTTATGATGGAAAAAACTTACCTTCTCAGCAGAGAGAGCATCAGTGCAGACGTTACTGATAAGTTGGGAATTGACCTGCATGTTATATAAAGAGAATTGCACATCAGATTTACAAGTTTGCATGTATGATCCGTAAGGATTAGGCCATCCCTTTGATACATTATGCTTTACTTTCCGCACAATTAACTTCTAAATTGTTTTTATTTGACCATGAGCCAAATCATCAGCAAATAAATAATTACTGAATCTGTCCGAGTCTTTTCTCCTGAATTTCTTTTACTATTACTACAATAAAAATTCCCAAATGTTTAGGATTGATACCTTGCATATTGTATCAAAACCAACATTAGCTTCAACAAATTGATTCTTAAGGTCTCCATTCAGTGTAACAGGAACACCAACCACCTGGAAACACAATACACGTCAAGATATTGGCGGGAACATCCAATTGGAAATAATAACCAAAACAGTTGTTGGCGTATAGAGATCTAGTAGTAAAAGTTACCTTTGTTGGACATTTGGCTTCACCAAATGTTTCAGCAAGTTGGACAGCATCTGTGTTTGATGTTACACCTACAAGCCAAACATAACTCTTACTTAGTCACTTCCACTCACTTATCATGGCATGTTGTAAACCTTAATTAATTCACCTCCAATAATTACAAGGCCGTCCAACTTCAAATCATTGCAGGCAGTTAACGCAGCCTGAACTTGCTCAGTTGTTCTAATTTGATCTTGAGTCCGTCCCAACAGATCATAACCACCTTATCAATCAAAAAACATATCTAGAATGTTAAATTATAGGACCATATGAAATCAAAGCTGTTTCTTTACAAAGATTGCTTCATTAAAGAACCTACCTTGATTTTTGTAGGTCGAAAGAATATCATCATTGATCTCTAGAGTTTTTTGCGCAAATAAACCTTGAGTGCCACCTGTTAGCCGGAGCGGTAGAAGAATACCCGTCACGTAGAGAATAACAAGCACAAACATACAATTGTATTGCAACGGAATACTAGAAAAATAAAACAAAAATAAGCAAATCCCAACATCTACAACACATAAGCGTGTATCTATTTATGGAAATGTAGATGTGTATGGTGTATTTATAATAATGTATGTGTTATTGAGCTTGTGCATTAATATAAATGTATGGAGTATGTGTATCATGGCATGGACAGTATAACATCATTTGAGCTGAGAGCGTAGCTTACCCAAAAAGCCCAGCAAAGTGCTATTGGGGTTATGAATTTTGAGAGCTTTGTGCAGGCCCCATATGACATTATGCCCACCAGGGGATTGTCTCCCACAAAAGACAAGTCCAACCCTGTCATGCAAGACCTGGTAATTAGACAAATAAAAATATCTGTACAAAACTACAAATAAATATATCCATGCAGCAGCATACGACCATGAATTAATGCCAACAATTCCACGGGAAGGTGAAAGGATGAAGGGTTTAGCAAGTAGAAGCAACTATTGAATTAAAAATGAGCCTAAAACGGAGGGATCATGAGAGTAATATAACACAAGCACCTAATAGCCGGATGCTCAGTTATAATCTGAGGAGCAGGTACTTTGGCAGTCGGCCTAAAGAAGTGAGCCAAAGGCTTGCCAAAAGTGTGTGGAAAAGCACGGGCAATGGTTTGAGCATCGGTTGGGTCTAGAGATGTAGTGGTATCACCAAACTCAACCCTCACAGCAGTTCCCTGAAACATTAAACGAATCCCTCGTTTGTAACAAAAACGATATAGCAAATAACGGCCGGTCAAATATAATCAATCTACATGCAGAAGCAAAAGATTAGCAATAAAAAAAATCAGATCCAACAAAAGCCAAAACAGAAACAGAATTACAAAAAAATGACTAAAAATAGAGGAAAATCAAGGATTAAAGATAACAAAACACGTGATGCAGGTGGAGGAAGGAGAAACCTCGAGGCAAGGAGGGAGCTGTGGCTGATACAGAGATCGGAGTTTCTGGAGATGGGAGAGCTCTCTGGGAATGCCGTAATCGGAGTCCATTTCTGTTGCTTGTTTGATTGATTTAGGGGTAATTGAATCTTAAATCTAAATTCGGTAGAACAGTGGTTGAAGTAGGTTGGGGTGTTTTGATCTTTGGTTGGTGTGGCAGAGTGTTTTTGGTTTTAGGTTCAGTGGGATGGGAAGTGATGCTTTTCCTTTTATTTATACTACATCAAATCCACACTCTTAAGACTGCAGCTGTGGGCGATACAACCAAACCCAACTTATTTATTTTTCATTCCAAATATCCCCCTCTGTTTTCCAATTATTACTCTCTTCCCAGTTACAAATAACAAATATATTAAATTAAAATATAAATTTGGGATAATTAATTTATTTGTTTAATCTTAAAAGTATTGCGATTTACTTAAAGAATTATCTTTTTTTAACTTACTATTTTAAAATTATTTTTAAAAAAAATAAATTATATTTTATTTTTATTTCATTTAATTTGCTATGACGTTGGGTGCTAGGTTTTATTATAAGATATAGATAACAATAGATAAATTAAAATCATCAATTTAATATGTCATATATATATTGTTTTAAAAAATAAATTAATAAATTATATTAATGTCGCAATTAATATTAATGAACATTATACATATTCAACTATCTTATAGAATAATTTCTAAGTAATTTTATTGTTTTAACGTGAGTAATAATATTAATCATGCATATGTATTTCATTTAACCTAATATTTCTAAATTTAAAATACAATTAAACTAAAATTAATGCATTGTTTAAAAGTACCTAACTTTATTTATATAGACTATGAAGAATTGACTTGCATATTTTATTTTAATAAATTCTAAATTTAATCACGATCTTAACTAATATAAAGGAGAATGAGAACTCTAATCTCTAAGGGAAGGAAAGGTAGTGCTCCTAATGAATCTGGAATTCATAATCTAAAGGAATATGATGAAACAAAGACGAACAATTTAATCAATTAATATGGGGAAACAAAAATGAACAGCTTGATCAATCGATTAAATATACACGTTCATATTATTTCTCTTTGTTGATACAACTATAATTGAAATAATAAAAAATTTATTATCAAATCTTCTAATGACATTAATCTCAAAGTTTAATCCTGTAAACAGCCTATACGTTGTTCTCCTTAATGTTTTCCTTTTAAAAGAAGAAGATTGTTCCACCGCTTAAAATAAATAGAAAATAGGCATTTACACATTCAAGAATAGTTAAATTTGAATCAATTAATTAAGATTGAATAAGTTTTTACTATATATATTATCACGATACATCTTATCTTGCATAAATGTTTTTTATAAAAAAAATTAATATTAACTATTAAATCAGTAAATGGTGATTGTTATTAACAGAATGGATTTTTCATAAGAATTTAATTGGGTACACTTTGTTTTATAAGAGTTTAACTTTTTACGAGTGTTTTTACCTTTTATCCAATAATAAATTATCACAATCAAATCATACTTAACTTATCATATAAAATGTCATTTTTTTCATGAAAATATTACCCACTACTTTAAATATTTATTTATTTTTATTTTTACGTAGCAGATAAAATCTATTTAATATTATGCCATTTAGACTCTGAAATATACGATATCTAAAGTAAAAAAGAAAAGAGGTATATTTCTGAAGGAGAACAACATCGCAAAATTAATCAATTAATTGATTAGGCTGGGAATGGGAATGGGAATGGGAATGGGAATGGGAATGGGAATGGGAATATGCCAAAGTATATTCCTTTCACTCAAAAAAAGCAACAAGGACATTCGCGTAAATTTACAGCAGCACACTGGTTCACCTATCATTCAGTGGTACCATAGGGAGGCCCTTTAATCGTGTTTTGTAGAACGAGAGGTAGTTTTACGTAAACAGTTTAGGAGGTATTTTTTTTTAAATAATTCTTAATGGGAGTTATTTTTTTAATAAATGAATTTTTGAGGATTTTTTTACTAAAATTACCGTATAATAAGGTGGGCATATTTCTCTTTATATATGTTGGTTGGTTTCAAGGATATGGCAAATGGTTTTGACTCTATTCTGAGACGGTATATAAATTACATGCTAATTTAATATTGCAAGACGGACCGAATATTCAATAAACTTCCTTCAACTTTATATTTTGTTTTAATATGGCGGATTTATGCTAATTGTAGCTGGTATTTCTCAAATCAGAGGCCGAACATGCTCACTGTGTGTTCAATTAAAATTTATAATTATGGATACATATTTATAATATATATTATTATTGGGTAAACTACACGGGAGACCACCAAACTATGGTCATTAATCAATCTTGCCACCGAACTATTTTTTATCTCAATTCTACCACCAAACTTTTTAATTGATTCAATCAGACCACTCTCCGTTAAAAAAATAACGGAGAGTCCGACGTGGCTGCTCAATAAGCGTATTGTTTCTAGGTTGGACATGCACCACGCCACGTCATGGACATGCACCACTGCACGTCAATTAAAACATAAGAAAATAAATAAATGGCACTCAAAGAGTGAAGGAAGAAGAATAGATAATTTCAAGCATGTATCTCCATCTTCTCCACAACCTTTTGTCTTTGTTTGTCCACCCATCTCTGCCACCTGCTGAGCAGCTCGACGAACAATATCCGTCGCTTGTCCACCCTTCTCCGCCGCATACTGAGCGCTTTGACGAGCGGTTTCCCTTGCTTGTTAACCCTTATCTTTGGTGTACTCGACTGCGGTGTTAAGCGCTTGGGCGGCCGATTCCTTTGCTTTGTTATACCGTTCTTTGGCAGCGCGTAAAGTCTCCATCGAATTCTGTTGAGCTATTCCTCTTAGCTTAGATATTTCTTCTAGAGATAGCTGTTATAGTTTCTCACCACCCTCTTCTTTATCAATGTTCCTCAGTTCGTCGGCCGTTTCCATGCTATTCCTTGTCTATTTATCGCTCTCGCGTTTGCCCATAGACTCCATTGAAGCACCTGCACCTGCTCACGTTTGGCTTTGGACTCCATTGAAGCACCTCTCTCTTGTCTATTTCCATCGATCTTCTCGTGTTTGAAGCCCTGAGACTCCATTGAAGCACCTCTGATTTGTTGGCCCACCGCTCAGTTCGAATTTCCCTATGGCGTAATTAGGCTCTCTCGCCCTCTCTTCACCGTGTTTTCCTCTTCCGGTTCCGACGTCATCTCCCTTTTGGTGATAGTACACGTTGCTATCTAAACTTAGAGTCGTTGCCTCCCTTTCGTGGTTTCCATATTGATGTGTATCCATTGTTGCACCACCCAGAAAGTCCTCCAGTTTTGGGGAAGAAGTGGGCACAATCCCTTCAACAGAAAAAATATGAGAATATAAGTTTAACATAAGGAAAAAAGCAAATAAGAGAAGCATGTGAAAAATGAAAACATAGAGAGCCATCTGATTTAAGCGGCATAACAGACAATGGAGCGTGAAAGCTTACAGTTTCTCCAACTCCATAGCAGATTCTAGGCCCGTTTAAGTAAGAAGACAAGTAGAAGCTTGTAGGAACAACATTAGCAATAGCTGGTGAAGCTTGACTATACTGATGGTAGTGATGATGTCGATGTTGGGGATCAGTAGGTACCTCCATTTTCATGTGGGTGAAAGAGAGAAACCCAACCATTTATTATTGTTTCCATTGTTACTACCGTCGTTCACAGTCTTCTTCTTCTTCTTCTCTCTCTTGCTTTTCTTTCTAAGCAGTTTATATACCCAGATTGAAGGCAAACTCAATCATTGAAGGAATAAAGGTGGTGGCGAGGATGGTGAAAGGTGGATGGTGGAAGGAACCTAATGGGTTTTGTGTGAAAAAACCCCATGTGTCTTCTCAGGTGGCATTAATAATAATATAAAAACATCGGCGTTAGTTTATAACAGCCACGTCGGACGTGCCATTATTTTTTTAATGGAGAGTGGTCTGATTGAATCAATTAAAAAGTTTGGTGGTCGAATTGAGACAAAAAATAGTTCGATGGCAAGATTGATTAATGACCATAGTTTGGTGGTCTCCCGTGTAGTTTACCCATTATTATTATAAATTAAGTGATCAATTACGTTATAAAGTCATAATGTATTAGAAGTGTCATGGAAATAAAAGTATAAATATTACTTACAGAGTTATAAGTACATATATAATTGATTCTTAAATCAACTATATAAAGGGATTATGGTCATCAAGAAATAGATTATGACGTATTTTCTCTGATCCCATAATAGAGTCTATACTCAAGGGAATTATATGTTCTTGGAAGATCATAGTCGAAGAAAGATTCGAGGATTTCAACCCATCAGTTAATTCATGGACGCTTCCGCTTCTAGTATTCATTCTTGATTATTTACATGATTAGATCCTGGTTAGTTTTCATATTTACTATGGTTTGATTCTAATAAGTAGTATAATCTGCTCGTCATGTTGAATCATTGAGAATCAATTGATTTAGGGTTTTATAATACAATAAGTCAAATGAATTTATTTAATGATTGGACTGGTGTGATTATCTATTTGTGAATTACTTTGACGACAATCTTTGTTTTTTTTTAATTTCTCTTTGATTATTATTCCAATCGTAGTTACAGTCTTGGGTGCTTTGATGTTAAATTTCTAAATTTATAGAATTCACTTATGGCGTTTGATAATGCACTAGGATAAAATTGATAATCCACGATGAGTGCTTCTTCTATTTTTTACATATTTGATTTTGCATGAATCCTTATGTGGTTGTATTATTAATCGACAGTTGTTTGAAAATTTTATTTATCGATTAAACTGGTAGTCCGTATTATGGATAAACTTTTTTGATTGTGGGGCTCAACTTAGCGTCACGATTAATGTTCAACATCTGTTGCGTTAATAACATTAATAGGGGGAAACAAATTTGAGGTAACAAATTATTCTTGTTTTTCGGGTTCTAGTTATTTGTTTAATGCTTATTTACTCTTGCTCTAGACTCCTTCGAAATTGAGGGCAAAAAATGTGATTTTTACTTTTTATCGTATTACTATGCAATTTTGTATGAAATGTGTTTAATTCCATGAGGTTTATATAACAACCCTTGCTTAGGAGTCATGTTGTACGGTTAATATATGTTTGGTGCATTAAAAATAAGTTGGGTTATTATGTTTTATGTTGTTATGAATTCAAT